TGAAAATAAACAGATTTCCTTCCTCTAGAAGTATTCCCAACAGTTGATGGACTGATAATACTTTGTTGGCCCCTGGGCAAACGTTGTGTGTTGTGTTGCTCAGACTTTTTGATCAGGAAACCTGCTTCCCCAGACGGCACTGTGGGGCTGTTTGTTCTTCACAAGACCTTCAGAAAACACCCATGGGCACCTCTTGTACCATTTGCTGGTTTTCAAAACCTTGAGTTTAGATATTGTCCAGTATCTGTAGGACTAAATCAAAACGTGGGATTCCACTCCCTCAGGAGTAGACCCTGAGACTGTTTTTGATTCTTCAGTGGAACTGGAATGAATTCTGCTGGTTTTGTGACTACTGTCATTGTTGCCTTAAGAGGTGAGATCATATTAGAGTCTGGACACTTGCAAGACTTTAGGAACACAGTGTCTAGTTGCTTTTCAGAAAGATCATACCTCCCTGTGGCTTGAATCTTGAAGGGCCACGTGTAAAGTGTTTCGTTGTCTTTAGTTGTGGTGCTATAGGAAGGTGGGGGCCTGCAGGAGGTGTGCCTTGGGAGAGGTCTCTGTGTCACTGGGGTCATGCCCTTGAAGGGAGTTCATGGGATCCTGGTGACTTCCTTTTCCTCTGGTGTTCTGCGGCCCCTCATGAAGGGAGAGGTCTTGGCTCCTCCAGTGATAAATCTCTGAAGGGAAGGGCCAGTTGATAACAGACTGGAACCCCAAACTCTGAGGTAAAGTAACCCTTTTCTCTAAATTGATTACTTCAGACACTTTGTTAGAGCCATGGAAAGCTAATCCCTCATTCATCCACAGAAGCTGAGAGGTCCAAGAATTTCAAAGTGCTGGAAGGTCATTCCTTTCTCTTTATGATATAGGCAATCACAAACAAAACAAAACAACAACAACAACAACAAAAAAAACCAAAAAACAAAAACCAAACAAACAAACAAAAAACCCCAAACACATCAATTAGGGCTGTCGAGACTGGATGACAGTTAAAAATGCATACTGGTCTTCCAGAGGACCTGAATTTGGTTCCCAGCACCCATGCTGGGCAGCTCTCCACCTTTCTCTGTAACTCTAGCTCCAGGAGGGTCTAATTGGCATATACATGTGAGCATACACCCCCACCCCCCCACATGTAAGTAATAAAAATTAAATCTTTAAAAAAAAAAGTCACCTGCCCAAAGAACACAGACAACCATTTCTTTGAAGAGGCAAATTGGCTTTCCAGAATTTTCTGTGCTAAGTGATTAAATGGAATCTGGGAGGGAGATGGGGGTCATCTCAACAATGAAATCTCAAGTCTATATTTTGTTGGGTAGCTTGCAGAGAGTTGGAGTTGGCATCTGTTGATTTTAAAATAGCCTTCCAAGGTGAGGTTTTTAACAAGAAAGCTTTTACCAACCTCCTGCAATTGTGACCTTTATTTCTGGAAGAGTCTTTGGTGCCATCCCGTCGATATTAATTCTGACCTCTTGGGAAATGCATTAAACCAGAGCAGCTGGTGGCCAGCCGTGTGTGCGCACTTGTGTCCTGCTTGTATGGGATAAACGATATACTGTAGGCCAGAAATGATTTACCTCTTTGTCCTTCACAAATATTACCCTTTGGTCAGCGCATTATTGAGTTTCGGGGCGAGACGCTAACCTTGAATTTATTAAAGCCCCTTAGTCTCCAGCAATAAAGTCGCTTAAGTGGGTCCACCAAAAGATTGATTTCCGAGTGGTTCCTTTGTGGGGAAGGAACAATGCTTCCCCTACTGAGGGCTTTCGATAATTCATGAGACCCGCACGCTATTGGCTGTTTGAGAGGCTGCATTTGGCATCAGAGCCCAAAGGGAAATCTGTGTCACGTGTCTGCCTTCCGGGAAGTGGGGCTTGTACTGACTCTAGCTGAGGCTGTCTTGAAAACCAGAGAGGAGGGGGACCTTGTGCAGGATTGGCTAAGAGACCACTTTTTATGCGCCCTCTGCCTTCAGCAAAGCCTGGTGTCTGCAGACATCTCCTTTTCCTCCCATGCGCAGACATTCTGACTGGTTTTGACCCACGAGGAGTGCATCCAAGGATGAACATGCATCCTTGGAGCCCAGCAGTCACAATGGGCACAGGGGACGTCTGTGGCCATGGAAAGGCATCTTGTGCTGTGAGACCTGGAGAGGTGTTTGTGGCCAGGTGTCTGTCAGGGTCTCCGCCTCCGTTCAGCTGTAAGCCTGACTCCCCCTTCCTAAAAAGCCACCACACTCCCGGGTGGTGCTCCTTCTCAGGGGAGACCCGTTTGCAGTCACCGTGGGGCAGCGTCCTGCCCCCTTTCTGGATCTCCTGAGCATCCCAGTGAGAAGCGCCATGTGCGAAACAGAATGAAGAGTTCAGTTCTGTTGTTTGCCAGGGAAACTACAGGATTCATCTCCCATCCCTCCCTCTCTCCTTCATGCCCCAGTGAAAATAGCTGGGGTCTCTGTTTGTTTGCTTTGAGTCAGGGTTTCTCTGTGTAACAGTCCTAGCTGCCCGGGAACTAGTTCTGTAGGACGGGCTAGGCTCAAGCTCACAGAGATCTGCCTCTTGAGTGCTGGCATTAAGGCCTGTACCACCACTGCCCCTCTAAATGGCTGGCTTTTGATTAATCCTTTGAAATATTTTATTTATTTTGTGTGGGGGGAATATGTGTCCACGCCACACCACACGAATAGCAACCAGGGGACGATTTGCAGCATTCGGTTTTCTCTTCCTGCTGCGTGGGTTCCTGGAACTGAACTCATGTCTTCAGGCCTGGCAGCCAGTGTCCTCACACGCCGGGGCATCCCACTGGCCCTGGTTTGCGTTCATCTAAAGCCAAACTGCCTAAAAGTATTGTGAAATTTACGTCACACAGCCTTTTAAGTGCACGTTTTCCTGGAAGTTCTACTGGTGACACTGTGATGGTGGTTACGTGACCAGCGTTTGCACACCCACTGGTGTCCTCATTTTCACATTGGATTATAGCATCTTTGCTGCCTTCAGATATTTCTCTCACTTAACACTATGTCACAAGAACTTTTTCCTGTGGACCCAAATTCTCCGCATTTCAGCGGCCCTGGAACATTCCATTCTAAACAAACGTCTCTGGCAGCCTCAGCCTCAGAGAGGATGCTTTAGGGCAACCGCTTCTGTTGTCAGGGATCTGGAGGTAGATCGGGTACCGGCAGACTCACTGCGTGTGCAGGCTCCTTTCCTAGGACACAGGCAGCCTCCGGCCTTCTGTATCCTCCCATGCTGTGTGTAGAGGGCTGTAATCCCATCACGCGACTCCACCTGCGTGACCTCATCTGACCCCAGTGACGTCCCACCCGACCTCCCGAGACCTTCCCTCCTAAAGGCCGTCACACTGACAAAAGTGTGAGCCTTGAGCTGTGCGGGACACACGGACACTTAGTCCAGGGTACAGCACAGTGCAGTGATGAACGGTCACACTCTTCTTTTGATTTTTTTTTCCGTCTCCATCACAACAAAGGGAAATGCCTTTTCTGTGCATGGCGGTCACTCTGCAAGTCGACTTCCAGGTCAAGGGCGTGCACATCTTGGCGTTTGGTGTGTCAATCCTGGTGGCATCGTGGGGCTGAACGCTAGTCCCATGTAGAAGACGAGTGTCTCCCTCCCCGGGCCACTCCAACAATGAACCTGTGTTTATTAGTCTATTAAATTAATGTTTATTAAAGTAGTGTTTATTAAATTGATATATACCTCATCAATCAACCTTTTTGTTAGTTGAGTAAGTTTAAATGTTTATTGGTAACTTGTAGTGGTTACTTATATAATCATTTCTCCATTTCCCTGTTGAGCTTTCTTTCACTTATTGGCTCTTTCCAAGACTTTTGTTTTTAAAAGCCTCAACTCCTTCCTCAAGATTTCTTTTTTTAAATTATTTTTTAATTTAGGTTAGAAACAATCTTGTTTCACATGTCAATCCCAGCTCCCTCTCCCTCCCCTCCTCCCCCGCCCTCCCCACCAGCCCCCCACCCAATCTCCACTCTGACCCCCAAGGAGGGTGAGGCCCTCCACAGTGGATCTCCAGGGTCTGTCCTTTCATCCAGGGCAGGTCCTAGGCCCTCTCCCAAGAGTCCCGGCTGAGAGAGCCTCCCATATTGTGGGATGGGCACTCAAAGTCTATTTGTACACCAGGGATAAATACTAATCTACTACCTATGGCCCCATAGATTACCTAGGCCTCCTCACTGATAACCACATTCAGGGGGTCTGGGTCAGTATTTTGTATACAGTGTTGTGTCTGCATGTATGCCTGCAGGCCAGAAGAGGGCACCAGATCTCACTACAAATAGCGGTAAACCATCATGTGGCTGGGAATTGAACTCAGGACCTCTGTAAGAGCAACCAAGTGCTCTTAACCTCTGAGCCATCTTTCCAGCCAGACTTTTTTTTTTAATTAAAAAATACAAATTAAGACTAGGCCCTCCTTTATAATATGCATGTAATGTATTCATTTGGAGAATAATTCTCCATCTTACTTGAGGATGAAAGTTTCCAATAGGCAGTGACACTTAGGTTTCTGGTTCTGAGGGTAAAACCCCCATCTCTTGCATCATCACTAGCTGATCTTGGTTAACTCTGCCCGAAAGAGCTGCCATGTGGCCTGCTTCTCAGTGGCTCTGCAGGGATCTAGTACTCATCCCTAATTTTCTCCCCCCTTGGAGTGTATCTTCTCCTCAACACTCTGTAATTCTAATGAGATTGTAGAGAAAAGAAAATCCAGAGGGCCTCAACACTGAAGATAAATTCTGCTCCTGGCTTTTGGCCGAGAGGAGATTTCAGGGTCCATAAACCACAAGTATGTATAGATGGGGGGCAGAGTTTATTATTTCATATAGGTTCCGGAGAAGTCCTAGGAGGAATTTAGAGCTCCTACGGGAGGACGTACAGGAGGAGACAGCGTAAGACGGGACGTGTGGTTTAGGAATGCTTGAATCTGTGTGTTCACCATGGCCTAAACTGTTGACTGCTTTTGCACAGTTCCACTCGCTGGCGCCCATGTACTACCGAGGATCGGCCGCAGCCGTCATAGTGTATGACATCACCAAGCAGGTAAGAATGTCAGACACCGTGGTGGGAACTCTCCGGGAGACACCAAAGCAGAGGAGGGCTTTGTGAGTCTTGCCAGGGCCTTGGGAGACTCGACAGTGTTGGGGAGTCAAGGACAGTGACGGCTGTGTATCCAGCGCGCTTCCCCCACAAACCAGATTTGATTCGTCACGAAAACAATAAACGTTCCTTTTAACACTGACCCCCCTTTTTAAACCCTCCCCTTTCAGATCTATTTATTTTATCTTATGTGTATGAGTATTTTGCCTGCATATGTCTGCGTACCGTGTGTGTGCCTGGTTCCCACAGAGGTCAGGAGAGGGCACTGGATCCTTTGGAAGTGGAGTTACAGATGGTTGTGAGCCAGCCACCATGTGGGTGCTGGGAACCAAACCCTGGTCCTCTGGAAGAGCAACAGATGCTTTTAGCTGATGAGCTGCCTCTCTCCACTCCCTAAAACTGAGCTTCCATACAGGCAAGGTCATGTCGGTTAGCACTTTGCTTGAGACCATTTTAAGTTCTGCGTGTTTTATCATTTTGGGTAATTTTCTGTTACTGGTTCAGTTGCACTGTTCAAAGATCAGAGATAATATGTATGTTTATGAAAGTGAATATGTGTTTGCTCCTAGGCCATTGTTGCTCATTTATCTGTGCTCTGATTTTCTGTAGCCCTAGTTATCCAAGGCCAACTGTGGTCTAAAACTATTAAGTGGAAAATTCCAGTAACAGCGCAAACATTTTAAATAATGTATTACATTATTATGGTTATACCGGTTTGTGACTGTTAATATCTTACTCTGCCTAATTGTTTACTTAAACTGCACCCTAGGCGCTCATGGGACAGAGACACATTGTTTCTAGGGTTGGCTTCCAAACCACAGTTCCGGGCATCCACTGAGGATCCTGGAATGTATCTCATGCAGTGTATTTTGAGTTATATTCACTAGCAAATAAGTGCTTTGACTGGGGGCATTCCTCCTGACGCCAGCCCCTCTGGGATGCTGACCATTGGCTGATTCGTCGCTGTTATATCCTGACCATTTCCACCCACATGTGCTGTCCACTTTGGCCTCCGCCCTGGAGCAGGACACAAACAAATGTCACTTGATCCTGATAGCCTGGTTCCCATAGTGTCAAGACTATTATCAATGGCACTTACTGAAAAAAAAACTCAATAATGTGATTTTTTAACTTCTTCAAGTTTTAACTTTGAAAGAGGCATCTGCTATAGGCTGAGTATAAGTTAGCTAATGTTAACTAAGCGCCCCTGACAAACATTCCCCCCACCCCACTGAATTACATGGGTAATTACATGTGTCTACTGGTTTGAAACGTATTGACAGGTCTTTGCAGTGACTCGTCTTGTTTTTGGTTAGGATTCATTTCACACCCTGAAAAAATGGGTTAAGGAGCTGAAAGAGCACGGCCCAGAAAACATTGTGATGGCGATCGCTGGGAATAAGTGTGACCTCTCAGATATTAGGTAAGACGTATTTCGTGTGTGTGTGTGTGTGTGTGTGTGTGTGTGTGTGTGTTTCACATCTCCTGACCCCAAACCTGATGACACCTATAATGGTGAATGTTAACTCACATGGTCTATGCATAACGCAGCTGTATCAATAGCTCTAGCTATTGGTGTCTAGATGGTTCTATTACCTTTTTCCCTTCTTCTTATCATTACAACTAATACAATTTTAGAAACACTTTCATATACAAATGACGGGAAGTCTTTTCCCATAACATGTTTTAGATTTTAACCTAAGGATGCAGTCCAGTCTACATAATGCCACTATTTTGATTTAATATCTGAATATGATACATTTTGTGGCAGCACCCCATGTGGCAATGGCTTATGGAACTTCCTTGACCTTACGTATTGGTCCTTTTTCTGATTGTTAGAGCAAAATACCCAAGGCTGGGCTTTTATAAAGAAAAGGAGTTCCTTGTGCTTTCCCTAGAGTTTCAGCAATGGAACACATGGTAGAGAATTAGGAAGAGAATGGAGGCCATATGCAGAATCGATCACTTGGTGGGGCAGGGGCCCAGTGAGATCCAAGGACCAATTAATCTCTTTTACAACAACCTGTCCCAAGTAGAATCTCCTGAGACTTGCACTGACCCCTTCTGAGGTCATCCCGACCGTGACCTAATCACCGCCCCCGCTTCCAACATGCTTCTAGCTGGTGAGCTTTGAAGGACACAGATGGCATGTCAGACTGTAGAGAGTGCATGAGAGACATCAGACCTTATCTAGCCAGGGAAGCTAGATGTTTATGAAATGAATACTACCTCAGAAGGTTATGCGTTAGCTGTCCTTTCTCATGACAGGTCTATTCCAAGACTACAGTGGACATCTGAGACCACAGGTTACACCACACCCCCCATCTATGTTACGGTTTATATATATACAAATCTGTGATTAAGTTTATTTTATATATCAGGCCTAGTAGTAATGATTTAGAACAGCAACTAACAAAACAGAACAGTTTTTAAATAATACAGCGAAAGCTGCTTAAAATGCAGTGAATTTCTTCTGTCTGGAATTTTCCACTGATGTATTTGGACTCGACCATGGGTAACTGAAGCCATGGGAGGCAGAACCACTGATGGGGGAATGCACTATTGCAGACTTGTTTTGTCTCCATTCCCTTGGATCTGAATTCTCAGGAATCCCCATTGTTGGTTTTAATAAAGACAGCTGCACCACTCTTCTAGTTTTGATATCTAAATATGATTAAACCAAAATTAAATAAACATTGAAAATGGATCTTGCAAAAATCTTTACAGTGGCATTTGGCAAATTACTCTGTTTCTTTGTGTTTGCAAACATGTTGTATCACATTGCATCAGGTAGGCTTATAATACCCGTGAACAGCACTTAATCGCTTATTTTTCTGGGGGTTGGACAAGTCTTTAAAATCCCCAGACTTAGCTCAGATATACTTCTTCTTTATTGTAACCCTGAAGCAGCTTTTTGGCTCGTGTTTCCTGCATTGGGTGTTGGGTAGGCAGAGTCAGCCTTGGTGAAAGAGGTGTGTTCATCTGATACCTCATTGTGGTCAAGGGGACCTTGACAGAGAAAAGTCCCCTCTTTCTCTCTTGGGGGGATACAAATGTGTGTGTGTGTGTGCTTGAATGGGATAGGATTGTTTGGTACGATGAAACCTAACATATTACTTTTAGAAAAAAAGGGAGGTGAGAAGGAGTTGATAGCCACATGATCAAAGCAGACCTTCCTTTAGCTCTGGGATTGGGGTGTTCCAGTTGAGTTGTGGAGAAACCAGGCAGTCTTTGTATTTCAGTTCCCCACATCTAACAAGGACCTTGTGGCTAACACAAGACAGGAGGGTGGGAGTTCTTGATGAGGGACAGTCTCAGGTGAGCATAGTCTCCAGACAGAACAGGGTGGATTCCCTGGTGTTCCCCATAGACCTCCTGCTGTGAGCATCACACGGAAACATGCCCAGCTAAGATGACCTGGCTAAAACCCACCCACCTCACTCCAGACAATCTGCCTCCAAAGGATGACGATCCAACATCAGGCCCTCCATCCCTGGCAGCCCACCAGCCTTTTCGCTCAACTTCCTTTGCGTTGTTAGTTTGGCCTCAGCGAGGTCTGAGTCAAGCTCGTTAAGATCCCACAGGTGTTCAAAGCCTGGGCTACATGTCTTTTGTTGTACACACGGTCAACCGGGAGGGTACAGTTTTGATTGTGCGACAGAGGAAGCGACCTGTTTCTGTAGTTCTTATTCAAACTCCTGAATAGGTCAGAGAGAAAGACTTTTATTTTAAAAAGTAATGAATGAATATCATCCATCCATCCATCCATCTATCCATCCATCCATCCATCCATCCATCCATGTGTGTGTCCGCCATGGCATGCTTGTAGAGGTCAGAGATAACTTTTGGGGTTGGTTCTTCTATGTGTAGGTCCTGTGGATTGAACTCGGGTCTTCAGGCTTGGCGGCAAGCACCTTTACTCACTGAGCCGTCTCCCCAGCTCTGGATGAGTTTCTTGAGGCTTGTGTTATAGCCGTGCTGTATCCCAGAGAATGTTCCGTGGAATCCTCATACCAATAAAGGGGCTCCCCCATGCCCCCACCCCCATTCATGTCTGTGGCGTGCATACACATGTCTATGCATGTTTACATGTGTGCAAAGTGCTCCTGGAGGTCAGAAGCTGATGTCAGGGTTCTTCTTTGACCTTGTATATTGAATAAGGGTGTTTGCTGAACCCAGCACACCAGCTCAGCTAGTAGACTACACAGACTGCCCCAGAGACAGATCTTCACGGATGGGCTGCCACATCCTGACACTTGCATGTGCGCTAGGCATCCATATTTAATTCTTTACACTTTACCCAGCCATCTCCGGTCCTCCCACCAAGTGTTTTAAATGCCTTTAATTAATTTTATTTTTGTTTTTAGTGGAAGTACAGATTGCATTTAGAGTATGTGCATGGCAGACTAGTGCCCTACCACCAAATGTCTAAACAAACCATGGGCCTCCCTAAACTGACAGTGCTAGGTAGCTTTGACCCTATGCTAGCTCAGGGCCGGTTTTGCACTGTTACTTGCCTGGCTTACCTTCCTGAGTAGCTGAGATTATAGGTCTGCACCACCAGACCTGGCTGTTGCAGCTGTCTTTGTATTTGCCTCTTCCCTTTGAATAAGGAAGGAGGGAGGGAGGAGGGAGGGAGGGAGAGAGAGAGAGAGAAAGAGAGAGAGAGAGCTTTTTGAAAATAACACTGTTTTAGCCAGAATTAAATTTTTAAAATTGTGTTAATTTTTAGAATTGCATCCTTTTGTGATATTTGATACTACTGTTTCGTTTATGATCATAGTATAAAATTTCTAGAAAAATTTTAATGTTGGCCTATCATTATCTATAAGAAAAATTTTACAGACCACATTGGGAAGTTCTTAACTCTAACAAATAGATTCAGCAAGGTTGTATGATACAAGGCACAGAAAACTCAATTACATTTCTGTTTACTAATAGTGAGTATGCAGAATTGAAATAAAAAAAACAGCACCTTTTACAATTGCTCTGGGCGAAAAAATGAAATATTAGCAACATACAGGATCTGTGTGCTGAAAATTACAAAATGCTCATGAAAACTCATAGTGATGCCCTCTCCGTCTGACCAAGCAGCCTCACTCTTGGGCATCTGTCATGGAGAGACTTAGGCTCACACGCGACCCCTTCATGAAAACTCATAGGCTTTTGGGGTAACATCTCCAAAATGTAACGAGCCTACATGTCCTTTGAGCAAGTGACTGGCTAAACAGATTGTAGTGCAGTCAACTCCACGGACACTGCTCAGCCATCAGAGGAAACCGACCGCAAGCCCATCATCGAGTGTTTGGCACATTGCCCTGCGCGAATATCGCTGAGTGAGAGAGCTTTGCGTTCCTGTGTGACAGGTGCCTCCCATAGGTCGGTTTACAGGGAGAAGAGGTTGATCTTTAACCCGCACCTTTGGGACACCCGTCTGTGACTGGTTGACCCCTTGGCTCTGGGCCTGTGTTGGTGCTTTATAGTGGGACCGTGTGGGGCAAAGTCACACACTCACCTCACGGTTGGGCGTGAAGCAGACCCAAGCTTCCTAAGGCTCTTCTGAGGCATGTGAGTAATGACTTACCGTCTCTCATGAGGCCTCACTTCGAGCGTCGCCACCACCTCTGATATTCCTAATGAGGAGTTACTTACGGGAGCAGGGGTGACTCAAGGCAGTGAAAGCCCACGCGGGCATGGATGATGATTCATGAGAGCTGGAACCCAGGAGCAGGAGACGGGGCCAAATGATCCCATCCAGGAAGCTTGGCTGCTTTGAGTCTCCTCAGACGTCCCTACTGATTATATAACCTGGGGAAAGACAGGCCTTGTGCATCTGGTTAGTTTCAGGGACTTTCTGAGACTTGTGAGTTGTTTGCTTTGTAAGTCGTAGGAGGGCCTCCCTTCAAGGTGAAATGTTTCAATTTGGAGGAAATGGGTACCATATTATATAGACGGGAGACTGCAAATAGACCTGGGAAGTCCAACTTAAGAACATGTCAGTGTTAAATCTCACTTGCAATATTATGGGATAGTTTGCAAAATGTGACCAAATTATCTTGGGGCACTGTGTATTTGAGACAGAGTCTTGGTAGCCCAGGATGGCCTTCAACTCACTATGTAGATGAGGATGGCTTTGGGCTCATCTCCCTGCCTCTGTCTCCCGACTGCTGAGACTATAGGTGTGCACCACCACACTGGAGGCTAAGTACTATTTCTACTGCTTGTCCCCCAGCACGCACATTTTTGCTTTGTGTGGAGGAAGACAGCAGTGTGCGCATGGAGGTCAGAAGGCAATCCCACCCCGTCGGCTCTGGAGATGGAGCTCAGATCACCAGGTTCTTTACCCGCCGAGCCATCTTACGGCCCACCCTCTCACCCTCGGCAGAATTTCTCTGAGTAGCTCAGGATGGCCTTGAACTTGTAATCCTTGTGCCTCAATCTGCCGACTGCTAGGAATGCAGATTTCCACTGTGACTGCCTTCTTAGGGTGGCGATGGTGGTGCCGTGTGTGTGGGCCAGACATCAGGGTTAGGTGTCTTCTTCCGGGTTGCCCCAATTTAATTTTTGACACCAGATCCTTGTTGTTGCGATGTTTTGCTCTTCTGCTTTTTGGCTCTTCTGAGGGTCTTTTGAGGCCGCCACATGGAGGCTTGTTCTCGGTTAGGAATGCCCGGCCTTAGCCTGCGGCTTGCCAGCTTTTCTTAAATTACCCCGCCTACCTTTTCCCCCTGGGCTTTTATCTTTCTCTTGCGGCTGTAGCTCTTCCTCTCACTCTGTGGGTTGCTGTGGAGCTGGAGGGCTGGCGTCTGGCCCCTGAAGGCCACCCCTCCTTGTTCTCTGGCTCCTTCCTCCTTGGTTCTCCTTCTGTTTATCCTCTCTGCCTGCCAGCCCCGCCTGCCCTCGCTCTTGGCCGTTCAGCTCTTTAGTAGAACATCAGGTGTTTCAGACAGGCAAAGAATCACAGTTTCCCAGAGTTAAACAAATGCAGCATAAACAAAAGTCACACACCTGAATGTCAGGTTCTCCATCAACCTCTCACCAATTTGGCTGGACTCAGACTTCTTCTCTCTGCCTTCCCAGTGCTGGACTTGGAGGTACACACTGCTGCACCCATCTTTTTTTTAAAACATAGGTGTAGGGATTCAAACTCAGGCCTTCATGCCTGTGCAGCAAATTCTTTACTGACAGAGCCATCCCTAACTCCCTCAGGATGTTCTTTCTTTCTTTCTTCCTTCCTTTCTTTCTTTCTTTCTTTCTTTCTTTCTTTCTTTCTTTCTTTCTTTCTTTCCTTCTAAGAGGTATTTATTTATTTATTTATTTATTTATTTATTTATTTATTATGTATACAGTGTTCTGTCTGCATGTATCCCTGCAGGTCAGAAGAGGGCACCAGATCTTATTACAAATGTTGAGAGCCACCATGTGGTTGCTGGGAATTGAACTCAGGACCACTGTAAGAAAAGCCAGTGCTCTTAACCTCTGAGCCATCTTTCCAACCTCGGATATTATTTCTTATATCTGCATGTGAAACTATAACTATGTCAATAAAAAATTCAGTAAACAAAACTGATTTAGAAGGAAAAATATTAGAGTAGTGGTAAATACATGCATTTGCATATTATACACGCATCATTTGTATACCCAGAAAAACCTCTGAAGAGAGTTCCGACTGACACTTTGCCAGCATACTGAGTGAAATGACTAATTTGACCATCCCAACACACACAGGGCACAAAAGAAATGCAAGATGATGCTATGAAAAGCTGGCACTTAGAGGCTGGCCTTGTTGATTGGTAGAACGTTGCTTATTTGGGCCCAGAGTTTGATGTTTGATTCTCAGATATACATGAGCACATGCGCATGAGTGCATGCATGCATACATATGCAAGCTTGTATGGTCCACCACTGCTAAGAAAAACAACTCTAAAAAAAGAAAGGGGAGGCCTGCTGTATTGGTCTTTGTCCAGAGTGCATGTGTCTCCCTGAGACAGAAATAGTCTGGCAGGTGACAGGGCCTGTGAACCCAGCGGGCGTCTGCATGGGGGCAGCTCTCTGTGGCAGGAGAACCAAGCAGTTGGTCAGCCAATCTGGCTGCTCCAGATTCTGCCTGCTGGCATGACACTTCCAGGGAGTGAGCCAAAATCTCCAGGTCCCAGACCTTATTCCAAGCCTGACCTCATTTTACTCTAATCCCAAAGTGCTTTGCTCTTCCGTAATTCCCAGAAAACTGAATGCTTCCTTGGGGGTTACAAAAGGACAGTTTCTCTGTATGTGCCTCTGTCTCTGTCTCTGTCTCTGTCTCTGTCTCTCTCTGTCTCTCTCTGTCTCTCTCTGTCTCTCTCTGTCTCTCTCTGTCTCTCTCTGTCTCTGTCTCTGTCTCTGTCTCTGTCTCTGTCTCTCTCTCTCTCTCTCTCTCTCTCTCTCTCTCTCTCTCTCTCTCTCTCTCTCTCTCTCTCGCCGTACATGTGTATGAATGATCTAACGATCTTACCTGGCAGACACTGGTGGCATGAGCTTGTTAGCCCTTGAGAAGGACTGGGCACAGCGTGTTTTCAGACTGTGCTGGGACGGAGGTGGATTCGGCCCTCTAGATCTGGCAGAGCCCGAGCGAGGCATGTAGAGCAGAGGGCGTGGTCGAAGGGACACCTGTTCCCCAGTCAGTGGGCTTCATGGCACGTGTGTCTTAGAAGATAGCAGAGACTCAGCAGCCCTCATCCAGAATGCCTAGGACCAGGGCACTTGGAGTTCAGATTTCATAGTTATTCTCATACATAGAGCTGTCTTAGGGATGGAGCCTAAATCTAAATGCATATGCCTTACAAACACAGCCACCCCGGCCCCCCCCCCCGTGGGGGGAGGACATAATGGCAGGTAATAGGGACTGGGTAGGAGGGAGGGGGTGGTTGGTTGGTGGGGGTGTGGGAAGACAAGTCAGGGTGGACCCATGCGTGTGATCAGAATTTATTCTGTACATGTACGAAATGGCCAAAGAATGAAGTAGTTTAGAAAACTCTCCCTCTGCTGAGGTGACGGTGACTCCGATGACGAAGAAGCTAGAAGAGGAGGCAGCGTCTCTCACTGGGCATCACTTCCCTTCCTTCCTGGTCCTGACCTGACCGCCAGTGATGACCTTGGATGAGGGCTTTGGCCCAGATCCCAGAAGCCCTTGACTGCTTCCTTCCCCACAACCTGAGCATCTGTTGATGGCAAAGGATTGTAAAATTGGGGACATTTAAAGGACACGCCAATATTGAGAGAAAATAAGAACCTTAAGTGCCCCCAGACATGTGATGCCTGGGGTGGCTGCTGCCTGTGGAGCCAGAACAGCGTAAATGCAGAGAGGAAGCTGATGAAGACGGCGGGAGAGGTTGACACGTGTGCAGAGCTCACAGCATTTGGTTCGGGCTCTTTCTAGGTATCCCTGGCTCCAGGCAGGCAGGGGCTTTGGGTTCTAGATAGGAAAGGAATCTTCCTTTTGTTGAGTCTGGGGAGCCCAGAAGGATGCTGCATGGCCTTCTGGGAGTGCTGTGAAGATAAAAAGAGAATTGGATAAGGCTTTCTTTGGTGGCTTAGAAATGTCATGAACATGAGACTCCATAGGGAACTCTTAGAAGTTTTGAGCTTGAAAGCTGGCCACTGAGATTCTGTGTCAGCTGGAAGAGGGACTGGGGGCGATGGCTGAGGCAGTAAAGCACTTGCTTTGCAGACGTGAAGACTTGGGCTCCATCCCCAGAACCCGTGCAGGTGTGGGTGTGTCCATGCAGTCTCAGGGCTGGAGAGGTAGATACCATGGGGTCCCTGGAGAGCAGGAGCCAGTCTAGCCTAACTAGGGACCTAATGGACCGTAAAGGATCATGTCTCAAATGAGATGGTTGCCTTCCTGAGAATGACACCTGAGGTTATCTTGTGACCTACACACACACACTCACAGCACACACACATATGCATACACACATTATATACATTTACACACACATATACACACATACACACATACACACTTACACACTCATACACACAAACACACACTCATACACACATATACACATACAAAGAAATAGACATACCTAGAGTCTCCTGAGGGCCCCTGGGAAAACCCTGCCCTGGACACCCGGGACTTACAATGAAGAGCCTGAGGAAGGCCTGTAGCCAGCCTTGGTTTATCCTGGTCTCTGGCTGTGGGCCACACCCAGGCCCCTTGTGCCCTGCAGGTCCTGTGGAAACAGACGCGCACACTTTTTGAGGTCCCATTGGTCATTCCCACTGCCAGGGCGTCCCACAGAAGCAGCTCCAGCCGCTCTCTGCCCCTCCTCTTCCGGATCTCATACTGATGATGCTTAGGAGAAAACGAGGGACTAGACGTGCAGGCCCACAGCTGGCTAAGATGAAGCCGCCTCCCTCCCGCCACCCTGTACTTGGTTGCCTCTGACTGCGCAGGGTTGAGGCGCCCTGGCAGCGGTGCGCGCCTGAGACACACTGCAGGTATTTCGGTGACCGTCCGCTTCAGAGGACAACGGGGCCAGTCTCCTCGACGTCCCAGGTGGAGACCTGTATCATCTGCTCCTGCCCTTGGTCTGAAAAACCAAGATTGCTCCCTCGTGTTTCCTTCACAAGTAAGCCTTGGGAGGATTCGCACCACCTTCCCCTTCCCCTCACAGCAGATTCCTCATTTGACCTTGTTTCCCTGACTTCTGACTGTACAGATCCCCGTGAAAGCCTTCCTTTCTCAGCCTCTTGGCACTAGCTCCGTCGGACGTGTTCTGTGCGATGGGAGCGGCTTTCCCAGCTCCAAGGTCACCTCTTGGTGCCTCACATCCTTGGATTTCCCCTTTCCAGCTGCGTTAGAGCTGGAGAGAGGGGGAGGGAGGGGAGCCAGCAGGAGGGCCAGGGCTGCTGCAAGGTCATCAGACCAGGCTTAGTTTATCTTACGAGGGGTATCATGGGAAGTCACCCAGCGATGGAGTGAGGTGGAGAGCGAGGACTTGCGGAAGAGAGGGGTGCTGCCTCTCAGACACTGAGCAGTGAGCTTCGGAGGACCTTGATGCTACTGACTCCTCTCGTCGCCCCATTCGCCCCCGGCAGCGCCCCAGGGACGATGACAGGCATGCCGCGTGTTGTCTCTGGGTGGTGCGCTGGGCACTGAGAGAAAGACTGCAGGAGCCGCTCGCCACGAGTCAGGAATCTGCTCTTGGGGAGGAGGTTCACCAAGAGGAGGCAGCTGGGGGTCGGGTAAAAAATAGGACCTAGAGATAGGAAGAAAGAAATTGGTTCGCTCAGTTCTCAGTCACCAGGTTTTGCGTGCAGGGAGTACCGTGGAACTGCGAGGTAGGACGAGAGGTGTGTCTTGGAGAGCTGCTCAGGGAGCATTTACCCCTGCTTTGCCCTTTCCCTCACAGCAGTGGGAGGGCACAGTCCAGGGCAGACAGGAGTTTAGGAAAGGGGACATCCACAGGCTGGGGCAATGTGACACATCAGGGCTGTGGGTGGTGTACCCAAGGAGGACTCTCATGGGTGGCTCTGCCGGAGGTGGGCTAAGACAGGATGAGCTGGATAAGGGGAAGCCAGCTGACCGTCACACTGAGTGACACTTGGGAAAAGGACCTCGAAGCCCACCCCAGCAGTGACACACTTCCGACACAAGGTGTGGCCCAGATTAAAGGTGTGCCCTCCAGCCTCAATGTCTGGACTAAAGCCCTGTGTCATCCAGCCTTCTCCAACAAGACCGCACTTCCTCCAACAAGGCCACACCTCCTAATCATGCCATGCCCTATGAGTTTATGGGGACCAGATACATCCAGACTGTCACACCAGCCAACATGGCTCCTACCTCCTTCTCTTTGGGCCTGCAGCGGCCATTGCTTGACAGTCAGGAGGCTGTCCCCTCCTGAGCAGTGCTGGCCTCAGGCTCCTCCTCATCGCTGTATTGTGGTAGACACTGCCAGCTCAAGATACAAAACCAGTTTGCCAACCTTGAGGCGAGCTGAGAGAGGCATGCTGGGTCCCCCAGCGAGCTCCTGTGAGTCAGGAGCTACAAACGAGGAACCCCGTGTCCCAGAATTCCCACAGGCCACACCAACTAGGGCAGCAGAGCCCCCAGAGCCCAGTCATTTTACATTTTTTAATAAAGTTGACATTTTTAGATTGAAAATAGTCTCAGAAAAGGCAGTTCTTATCAGCACCCTGCTCTCTCTGCGGTATACTAAGGGTCTCAGTCAGGGTTTCTGTACAAAGGAAAACGTGTAATTGGGGTGGCTCCCTTACAGTTTAGAGGTTCAATCCGTTGTCATCACGGTGGGGAGATGGTGACATGCAGGCAGAGGTGGCTCTGAGGAAGGAGATGCTTGCTACATGTTGATAGGCCGGCAACAGGAAGTAGACTGACTACTCGGACTAGCTTGTGCAAAGGAGACCTCAAAGCCCACCCCACAGTGACACACTTCCTCCAACAAGGTCACACCTCCTAACAGTGCCACTCACTCCTTTTGGGGGCCATTTTCTTTCAACCACCATACCAAGTGAACATTTTTTTTCTAAAGTAAAATTTTATATACACATATTTATATTTGTTATTAAAAATTAAAGTGCTTCAACCCTAGTCTTGAATGGATCAAAAACTATGTGCAGAAGTATTTTTAAAATAAGCAAACCAAGGGTGGTGGTGGGGGTGTGGGAGGAGGGGTGGGAGAGGGAACTGGGATTGACATATAAAACAAGCTATTTAAAATAAAAATAAAAATAAATAAATAAGCAAACCAAGTAACAGAAATTGAAATCCTAGACAACAAAAATCCAATATATTCCAAATGTCAAAAACACAAAGCCAAAAATCAACAACAACAACAAATAATACCAAAAAGCCCATCAATGAGCCACACCTTAATGGCTACAGCACTCTGTTTATGCGAGGCTACGAGCCAAAGTAGCTTGTGCTGTTGCAGAATATGCTCTGTGCTCAAGATGTCCATGGTTCAGCCTCTATTGATGCTGTTACCGAAACAGGAGGGAAGTAGCTGAACGTGGGGCTCCCAGGAGCCCAGAGAACACATCTGGGACCTCTTTCTTCAGTTTTAGAGTGGTCCTAAAGCGCAATCTGTGACACGCTGGTGGGTGTTTAAAGAACGACACGGTAAAACAACAACAGCAAAGAGAGCAGTTGTGTTACCTTGTCAAATGTCCCCACATCAGTGTGTGTGTGTGTGTGTGTGTGTGTGTGTGTGTGTGTGTGTTCAACTTTATGAGGTGATGCTAGTGTTTTCCAGGGTGGACGCCAGCAGCATGTGAGACAGCTTGTCCTTTCATCCTGGCCCAGTCTTATGAGGCTTCGAGGTGTGTCAGGGTATCTGATAGTAACTTCAGCTCACGTCTCCTTTGTCCCTGGGGAGTGGGTGACTTTGCATGTATCTGCTGGTCATTAAAGTCTGCTCACGTGTGAACTGTCTCTTTGAATCATCAACAGGATCTCAACTGGGTCGTTATTATGATTTTTAAGATACGTGTACTTAATGCTGTTCCCTTGTTTTCAGTGTGTGTTTAAAATATCTTCTTCCGGGGACAAGGAGAGGTTGCTCAACTGGTAAAGTGAGTGATGTATAGGTATGGGGACCTGAGGCTGGATCCCTAGCACCCAGCCTAAGAAAGGACAACTAGCCGTGCTTGCAACCAATCTGTAACACTGGTGCGGGGGCTGGCGGAGATGGAAAGATGCAGACAGACTTGCCAGTGTGAGTACTTGGTTTATGAAAGACCCTGCACCAAGCGATAAGGTGGCACATGATGGGGAAGACGTCTGATGACAACCTCTAGCTTCTACATGCACACACATCTGTGTACACATGTGTGTGCACAAGCGCACACGCGTGCGCACCCCACACTTATCAATACTTTGTTTTTAGCCTACTAACCAGATAAACAGTAGACAGGGCAAATACAAATTAAAAAACATATGCCATCAATAATTTGTCAAGAAGGGACAGGAGAGATGGCTCAGTGGCTAAGAGCACTTACTGTTCTTGCAAAAATACCTGGCTTCTGTTCCCAGGACCCACACGGTAGCTCACAATCATTAGCTTCAGTTTCAGGGGATCCTAACCCTCTTCTGACCTCCATGGGCATAAGGCACACACATGCGGTGCGCATACTTACACACAGGTAAAACACCCGCACATAAAATAAATCTTTTAAACAAAGAACTTTGAGGAAACTTTAGTTCCTAAGAAAAGTTGCATTATAAACTCTGAAACCCCTGGGCGGAGAAAGGAAAACAAAGTAACTATATTCTAAGAGAATCTTTAAGAACAAAAGGCACGGATTCTTCTCAACAATACAACAGTTTCGAAACATTCTTTCCACAGGTTTCCAAGGCTAAAATGAAGCCTGTGGTTCTAAATCAGGGTCAGAGGCATCCGCGTGAGCAGTTCTTTATTTAAGAGTGGGATCCCTCAGTTAGCACGTGCTGATGTATTTCCTAGCTCTGTTCACTGAAATTCTGAAAACCAACGAAACCCCACAACACTGAGCACAGCTGACATCCAGACTGTGGGTTTTAGTACCATTTTCTAATGAAAGAAACCAGGGCTTCTCAAAGGAAAATACACGTAAGGCAAACCTACTTGTCTTACTGGGCTAGCAGTAAGGCACAAGGACACAAGAATTAACCGGGAACAGAGAGGGAGGACTGGTGATCAAAGGGATTAAGACTGGGCTGGTTTAACCCCCAGAAACAGCTGACCAGACAAAGGTTAACTCTTGAATCCCAGGCATTAGCCTGGGAAGCCAGCATGGGACTGATCAAGACCCCCTGAATCTGGGTGTCAGTGAAGAGGCCTAGGGAATCTACTGAGCCTTGGGCAGCAGATCAGTACCCATCCCAAGTATACACACGGACTTTGGACTCCCACAGAACAATGTGAGGTGCACTCTCACCCTGAACTCTTGGGGAAGGGTCTAGGCCCTGCCCTATATGAAATGACAGACTATGGACACCCCCATGGAGGGCCTCACCCTCCCTGGGGGAATGAGGGGATAACTGGGGGGGAGGGCACTGGAGGAAGGGAGGGAATGGGAGAGGGACCTGGAACTGACATGAAGCAACCTTGTTTCTTATCTAAATTTAAACTGGAAAATAAAATTAAAAAAAAAAAAGAATTAACCGGGAAAGACTCCTGATGGCTGACACTGGGATAGTTTGAGCAAAACAAACAAACCCCACACATACTGCTTCCTAGTAGTGCATAAAAGAAGTCTAGTCCACCAGACCAGACCATTACACATCCTTATCCATGCTGTTACAGCTTCTCCAGACCATTACACATCCTTATCCACGCTGTTACAGCTTCTCTGGGGTCAAGAAATACTGGTTATATGTTACAGGGTACACCCCAAATTCATATCGCTTCCCAAGACTAACCCTTCGTGAATCAGGCCAAGCGGTGCTGGCGTAAGACTGGACAGGTGTGCTGCAGAACGCAATATGGACCTAGAAACAGATCTATGTGTACACTACACATGATATCTGCCTGCAACAGGCCTGCTTGTCAGTGGGGGGAAGAATGGGCCGCACCACCAGTAATGGTGAGACAAGCAGCTAGCTACAAGAGGAACAAGCTCACAGGATAATAAGTAAGCAGCAGCGTGTGGCTTTAAGACAGATAATTACAAACTTGTAAGCCTGTGAAGGGTCGCTGACACAGAGGGCCAGCCACCAAGCTTAGGGTTATGGGAAGATTTCTAATAAGAAAACTCCAAAGAACAAAAGATAATGGGAAAACCCTGACAAATCATCTTCCATAAGTTGTAAGGAAGTGATGAGGAAGAGACAAGGTCAAGTGGAAAGATAGGACGTAGGCCCGAAGGAGACTGTGTGTGTGTGTGTGTGTGTGTGTGTGTGTGTGTGTGTGTGTGTGTGTGTGGTTATGCATGTGTGGTTATGCATGTGTGTTATGTATGCAGATACTTCCTTCTTGCTGCCCACATGGGTCTCTCTCTGAACCTAGAACTCGTCATTTTGGCCATGCCGGCTGGCTAGCAAACCCTAGTAACCTGCCTGTCTCTTCATGTCTGCCTTCTGGGTTTCAGGTGCAAGCGCACTGTGCTTTCTTGTAAGCAACGGGATGTGAACCCCAGGGCTCACACTGACACAGCAGGCACAAGCTCTATAGCACGAGCTATCTTCCCAAGCCTTGAAAGCGGGCTGTCACCCTCACCTCCAGCCTACCCTG